ATGGGGAGCAACTCAAAAACCACCAACTTCATTTGCTCTCTTTCCTATTTTCTTAATTGCTTCTGTCTAATCCAGAGTTCTTTGTATTTTACTTTTTAAGGTAATGGAGCATTGTTCTATTATGCCTTTGGAAAAATGAAAAGGGAAAATGGCACAAATTGAGGAAGCACATTATACTTTTACAAATTTGTGCAATTTCTATTACTGAATCATAAATATTTAAGGACATGCACCCACGCCATCACACGGGAAAATTCCGTATTGAACACTTCCAAGTACCTACGTCTTTCAGTAAACACTGGAAGTGCCATTATCTATATCATAGAAAAATAGCCCGCATGTCAAATTTTGAAAATTGGGCAAATTAAATGTTGGGCAGCACAGCGTGATACAAATCTATTTTTCTCTGATTTTCCTACTTCTGCTTTTTGTCTAGTGATGGAGAAAAGGACAATTCAGGTAAACATTTCCTTGCTTTTGGAATAGCAAGCCAGGTGTGAGAAGTTTTTCTTATAGGCCTGCAATCTTATATCCCCCTGGACACTGAATTATTAAAGGGGAAAAGAGAACAAATAATCAAGAGAGCGTTCTTGGCAGCCATTGTTTGAAGTTCACGGTGTTACACAACATCGAGCATGTCCAGTTCACCTGCCAGGAGCTATCTGATTCTTACTCTAGGGTTCCATTTTCCTATTTTGATCTTATCTGGCATCTGGCCGGGTGATGGTTCACGTCAGAAGATGCAGATCTTCCCTCTATTCCTTTAACCTTTGGGATGTGGTTATGAGAGTGTTCCTCATATATTTTCACCTACAAATGATCATATTAGCTGGTTATCTGTTCCCTGTAGAACCTAGGCTTGTGAGGGGGAAGGAAATAGAAACACCAGGATGTTATTAGTCTCTCAAGTGTTCAGTCCTTCTGTTCTCATGGGTCTGGCTGGACTGTCTCCTCATCTCATTTGTCAGGTAGAATGGCATTAAGAACACTCTGTGTACACACTGTCTCACAGGAGACACACGGCTTCTTTACCCTTGGATTAAAATTTCTGGACTCTAAGGTTAAACAGGCAAAGGAACAGCTGCTTTTAGCATTTCCAGGGAGGTCCCACCTAAAGGACCGATTCAGTGGAGGTGCCTGACGAGGGCCCAAACAAGGGCCGAAGGGGTGAGGTCAGGGCCTTGGTGAGCGGGACCGTGTGAGCTAATCATTCCGGCTGCTAAGCAGGATGATTTTTCTGCCTGGCTACATGGGGCACTTCGGTGATTCTTTTTCTCCTTGACGTTTGGGAAGATGATCCCATTTAAGCAGCCAAGTCTACGTTTTTAGGGTTAAAAAAAAAAGGGCATTCTCAAACAAGATCTTAAAATGTCTGGGATTTGCTTCAAAATAATCTAGAGGGAGGGAGAGGGAACAAAAGGAGGGGATAGATGAAATAATATGGGTCATGAATAGATAACTGTTCAAGTGCAATCATGGGTACATTCTGTACTTCTGAAATTTTCCATTGTAAGAGTTAAAAAAAAATGAGGCAGAGAACCAATGATCCAGAAACTTGCTAGTTATTAGCCTCAACCTTTAGCTTCACCTAAGCCTCTTTTTAAACATTGCTAACAGGGAATGCTGTCTTTCTCTCTCTGTGTCTCCCTACTACGTAATGGAGGCACTACCAAGCAGGAGAAATGCCAGTGGACAGCTGTGACCAGGGTTGGAGAGTTCACTGCACACACAGCCACCAGCTTCATGCTCTCTTGGTGCCCCAGCCAGGAAACTGGCAGCCCCATGTCTCTCGTTGGTAAGCCCATACTGAAACGCCAAGCTACAGAGTGTTTCATCCTGGGTTGCTACACTTTCCCTTAGTTCTTGTGATTGGAATGAGAGTCAAGATCAATAATGATGAACAACTGTGGGGGAAGCTGTGGGTTTATGAAGGACAGGGAGAGGGTCAACCCCTTTCCTCAGTATTGAACATCTTGTCTCTCCCCACGTCCCCCTGGATATCAGACCCCAGGAGCAGGAGATCTGGCTGAGTGGGCAGATTGCTGGCATTTGGAAGAGCTGGATCTGAATACTTCCCTGAGGCCAGCATCCCAGGACTGTCCTTCCCCATGAATTTCACAGTTATATTATGCTCTGTCCTAAATGTACCTAGCAACTCTCAAACGCAGGTGATTTGGAACTGGATTCCAGTCACGAGCCATTGTTCTGGACAGTCAGCTGCTTCTAGGAAATCAAACATGAGAAGTCTGATAACTAACTGACCACTCCACCAAGGACTTACAAATCTGGAGATATGGAAGTTTGGAAGATGATGTAAATTTTTTTTGAAAAGTATCCCAACTCATACCTTCACACCTGACCCAGAAGCTCACCTTGTGCAAACAAAATAAGCCAGGACTCAGAAAAGAAGAGAGGGAGTTGTCCTGCCCGGGCACCCCTGCTATCACAGTTAACTCGGGTCAAAGAGGATTTCGGGCACCAAGCAGCTTGACTCTATTTCACCCGAAGTAATGAGGTGAGAAGGTAAAGAAGAGATCTATTTGAGGAGAGGCTAATTGAGCAAGCTGCCTACTCAAAGGAAAAATAAGAACACACTGAGGATTCTGTAGAGGAACAATAAAGCAAGAATTCTTAATACAGATTTCTGAACATTGTATCGCAGGGTGAGGTGGGGAGCGGGGGCTTATAGGAAGCACCTCGTCCTGTGCTTTGGGTGAAAGATCTGATTTCTTTCTTCTTACTCCCCACAAAAGGAGAATTTAAGGATTGCTTCATTTCTGCCAAATGGCTAAAAAAATTTTTTTGTTTATCTTGTAATTATGCTCCAGCTCCAGCCAAAGCAATTTAGGCTAGAGGAGCATTTCACTTGTTTGGGGCTAGTTCAAACCTCCTCTTACCTGTTCCCAGGGAACACCTGAAAAGCATAAAATAACATGGTCTTGCTGCAGACCTTTCTGGCATATAAATATTACCACGGCATCTTAAAGAGCCAGCAGAGTCCTCCCCGGAGATGCTGCTGGGGTTCTGCCCACATCCCCAAGCGCCCTGTCCAGAGTTGCTGGGAGTGTCAGGGGCTCACAGAGTGAAAACTGCCCTCACCATCAGTGCCCCCTCACCTGGGAGGTTCCAGAGCCCCCACTGAAGTCAGTGAATACTCGGGGTGCAAAGAGCTGCCCCCTTGCCTTGAGGCAGGGTTCGCTGTGGTGCAGTTCATGTCCCAGACTTCACTGTAGGACAGAGCTGAAGCATGAACCCGGCTAAATCCACATGCATTTGCTCAGTGGCTTCTCCTTCCTTCTCCTGCCCGGTTGCTTCCCCGCAGGCTCCTGTGAGGACACTCTCCAGTGAAGCCCCTCCACAGGAACCCCCACCTCGGGCTCTACTGCTAAGGAGCCTGGCCTGTGACACTTCAAGAAGCCTATGGGAGCCAATTAAAATGATCACCTACTATTTTAAGTCTGCCACCTTTCAGTGATGACCAGTCTGGCCAATTTCATGTGTTTAACCCATAGACACGAGACCACACACCAAACGGCCTTCAGATGACAGGTAGAAGGTGGGCTGGAATCTATGGCAGTGCACGTCTCCTATCCCACTTAATAGACGAAACAGACTTTCCATCCGCCACACCCATTTCCCAATGCAATCCACAAGCCAAACCCCAACGCTCATTTCCCAGTGGTGCACTTGTCCGTGGAGACAGGGCTTACACCGCTCCTCTCCTTCCGGTAGAGGCAGGTGCCTCTCCCTTGAACTACATCAACTCCTGTGTGAGGCAAGCCGGCTCTGTTTTAATCACCGTTTAATGTGTGACATTCTTCCATCCCAATTCACAGCATTAAAAAGAAAACACAACTCAGGTAAGGTTTAACTGGGCACCCGCCACGTGCCCGATGAGGCTCTGAGGTCAGTTCAGACAACATCGAAGAGAAAAACATCGTTTGTCTTCAGTTGCAAGAATGAAAAGCATGAAGCTAACTGACGTTCCCATTAGGGAGCAACTAAGTTTGCTCGGGAAAGCAAAGATCCCTGACTTAAAGCCTTCTAAGGGGAGGGCCCACCTCCCCGGCTGGAGCAACGCATCTGCAGTGGTGCATCTGCAGCAGCGGGGTCTCTGCTGGCTGGCGTTCACCCCTGACAGCTCAAAGTCAGAAGACTGACTGCCCTGCCCGGTCCCTCCCTTTCATTTGGCCCACCCTGCCTGACCTCCTCAGACTGTCTTTAGCCAGTGGAAAGCTAGCTTCCTTACCTGCAGCTGTAAGCGATATAGGCTTTCTTGAAATTTTTAAAAGCACTTTCTTCTGCTTTTACTGTTTTGCCCTCCCATTAATGCCATGAGGGAATATGTTTGGATTTCCTCGGTGAGAATTATTAGTCCCTGGCCACACAGTTCCTCAGGAGCAGCTGCAGCCAGCACCCTGGTCTCCAGAGGGAGGCCGTCCTGAGATACATACTCACGGGGGTGCTACCTGTCAAACTCCCAAGTCCAGGGACTTAGGCAAAGAGGATAATAACTACTTCACAAAAGTACTGTCAGGTACAGAGAACAAGAACATATGAAAACCTCCCTGGCTGGTGTGGCTCAGCAGATTGAGCGCCGGATTGAGAACCGGAGGGAGGCCGATTTGACTCCCAGTCAGGGTACATGCTCGGGCTCAGACGCAACCACACATTGATGCTTCTCTCCCTCTTTCTCCCTCCCTTCCTCTCTCTCTAAAAATAAACAAATGAAATCTTTAAAAAAAAACCCCTCTAGTTAAAAAAAAACTCCTCAGCAAGGGGACACCTTTTAGACGTATAATAAATATTAATGGTCCTTCCCCACCTTGGTGCCCTTGCTTTCTGTATTGTTTTCTACCCGCCGAGGTTCTTGTACAAAACAGCGGTCAAGGGCGCGACTCCTTTGACACAGTGGGAGGAAGCAGTTTGGAGAACAATGTGCTGTGGGCCCGATGGCCCACCCAGGGGTGTTCTGAGGGGACCCCGCATAGAATGCCTACCTGGTGGTCGTCCGGATGGTGTTTTCTTTTGTGTGATTGTGCTCTTTGCTCACTTTTTCTGAAAGGAGAAAGAAGGAAACAAACCTCTTAGGTCATGGACACTCAAGTCATGCCTTCAAGGCTTCAGCAGAAACAGCCTGAACATTTCTTTCTGTCTCGAGGTTCTCCTCTTGGTTTCTTTTTTAAACAGCCACACCCTCCCTGTCTAATTGATAAAGACCAGCCTCAGAAGCAGGTAGACAGCAGCCACAAAAACGGATTAAAAACCAATCAAAGGGTTGCTAACAAATCTCAAGCGTGTGGTCTGGTTTCAGGCAGAACTTGCACACACATGCACGCGCGGTTGCACAAGGAGAGTCGTTTCTACCAGCTCTTTCCCCGGCTGAACATTTCTGCCTTTCTCTGATTCAGCATGAAAAATGCCGTTGTTGCAACTGTCCCGCTTCCGACTCTGATGACAACCCGTAAGCCTGCTGTATTGTCAGCCCCCTTTGTGAGGGGGGCTATGAAAACAGCCACAGGACGACCCCAGGGCCCTGCTGTCCTTGGGCCCTCATTCTGATAAATGTCACACGGGATGAAAAATACCGCCAGACACAAGGAGGCAAACCCTCCCTTCCTCCGTCTTGAGGTCTGTACCTACCAGCTGTCAGAAATTATTTCATTAGCTTTCAAGAACACAAAAGTCGAACCCTGGCCTCCCCGACACAGTTCAAACGCGAGGCCTCGGCCCTGACCGCCAAGGCTCTCAATGGCTTCTTTTACATACCCAGAGAAAACCCGGCCAAGTCCGCCAGGGTTTCAGGTTTCAACGGCAGGGCAAGTAAAAAAAACTCCTAATCTTACAAATTTTGGAAAAATTTCAACGAAGATTTACAACATCTGTCCCATCCTCTGTAACCGAAGAGCCTGAGGCGGTGGCATGCCAGTCTGCGTGGACAATTCCTTTCTGTCCGCTCGCCAGGGACAATGAGGGTGAATTGAGATTCCCAGGCAGTATTCGTTTAGAAAGCAGGAAATCGGGCCTAAATGACTTGCCTGAGGTCACCCAGGCAGTTGTGACAGTGCCAGGGGCAGAACTCTCAGACGCAGAGCTGCGAGCCGATGGCAGACTGTGATAACGCCCTCCTAGACGGGAAGGCTCTCTGAAAAGAGCCTCACTGGCCTCCCTTTTGCCAAATGTACCTGCTGAATCATCTGCAAACTTATATGGTTTTTAGGTATGTTTTCAGCTTGTTAGAAATCAAAAAGCGTGCTTGCAAGTTTGGGATCTTTTCTGAAGCTCGCCAAGATCTATGTGCCCTATTACACTGACAGAATGAAGTATTTCCATTGTGGCAGGGCTCCGCACAGACGCGACCCTGGAGTGAGAACTCTCGGGCCTCCGACTGCAGTGTCACAGGTGTGGGGTGTGTCCCTGGGCCAAGGAGAAGGTGAACCCTCGTGATGGCCCACGGATTCTAGCTTCTTTTCTCCTTCCTGGTAGTTTTCTTAGTGGAGAATACAAGTGAATACTTAAATAACGAGGCATCTAATGGGTGCTTTAAATTTGTTATCCATAGCAAAAGAGTTTATCCAACATTAGTAACAAACTGTACTTATGCATGAACTTCAATATGCAGACGAATACTTGACCACAGACAAGGGAGGTATCTCTCTATGTAAATCTAAATCTCAAACAGGTATGTATCATCAGTCTCAAGCATGTTTAGACAATCTGTTAAGGACACAATGTATGCAGTCTGAAAGAGTTAACAAGGGGAAAAGTTTAGGGACTAGAACCCTCAACTATTCTATCAGGACACTTAGGTGCGCTGGTAATTACTGCGCTTTTGAATTCCAAGGATTCAAAGTCAATGCAGTTGGTTTGCAGAAAATGTCCTATTAGGCTAGAGCCAAAAACAATCCTCATTCTTCATCTTTTGCCTTTCCCTTTCCTTGATTTTTTTTTTTTTTGGTGAGATACAGTAAAATCTCATTAATTCAGACCGAACTAATTTGGAATTCATGGTAATTCAGTCAACGTTGCAGTAAGCAGCAGTTTATCTTTTGCACATTAGAAAGAAACAAAAGGCTGTTAATCAGATCAGCTGCCTAAACAACATTAGAGGTGAGACGTGTAGCCCAGTCCGCAGGGATCATTTGCACGGAATTGAATACAGTTCTAATTTCAAACGATTCTTAACTATTTATTAAAGAAAGTTTGGCAGGAGCTCAACTTGGCAACATTGTATCCACTGAGTGTGAGTTGCAGTAGGCTTGTTCAAGTAACAAAATTGATTTCTGTCTGCAAAAATCCTATCACGTGGGTGTGTTCACTCTGCGTGAGTGGCTTTCCTGCCAATTATTGACATTTCCTCGGACGCCACATACCTGACAGTTGGAACAGGAGCTCGGAGGCCATCTTCACGGAGATATCCTGACTGAAGAGGTTTCTCTCTGGGGGAACCCTGCCCTCTGGCATCTTCTGCAAGGGTTCGGTTTTCTCTCGCCCGATTAAAGTGCTATAGCCAACATTCCGGCTGGGTGATATGGAGACATGCGAGTCCTGGATGTCAACCTCCATGGGCTCCTCTTTAATCTTCACCATCTGGGTTTCCTTGTAGCTTTCCGCTGCGAGCAGGTGCATGAAGACAAACAAAAACACGGAGTGTCTTAATTCAGAACCCAACCCAATGTCTAATCACCAAGAGGACCGTGAGGATGCTGTAAAGGAGCAGCTGGGAAGAGAGTGCCATGGCCCGCAGGGACACAGTTGGGAAAACGGCTCATTTGACCCATTTGGTTTCCTGAAAGAGTAGGAAACCGAGGTCTGGAAAGCTAAGTGACTTGCCCAAGGCCACAGGAAGGGCAGCAGAACCAGTCCTAGCTGTGCAGATCTAGAATTCAGGGTCCTTGCGCGGGGCTGCCAGCCACTTCCATGCACTCCTTCCTCCCTGCCACGCCGCTTCCCGAATTTGCAGATGGTATACACGTGTCTTCATTTTATAACTTAATTTCAACGAATCGAGTGAGAGCTAGCATATTAAAATAACGATTTTCTCCCTCAATTTTTAAAGCTCTGATCATTTTTTTTCTTTCTCTTCTAGGGCATCTAAATTAATAAAAGATAAATAGAGTTGATTCAACTAAAACATTTACGCCTTGCTGGGAGCTAGTAATCCCCAAGACCACCTAGGAAGTTAATTGCAGCCCAAGGATTAACACTTAGAAAAACAGCAATCTTACAGGTTATCATAACAATTCAATTTACTGACTGTTCTTGCTTTAGGTGTGACTGTTAGACGTCTGGCCTCCAGTCTGAAACATACATTCACTTTGCAAGGCTGGCGTATCTTTATGTCCACATGTCCCTCAGAGCTAATAGCAGAACATCTTTGAAACAAGGTGGCGCAATTAGCCCAGCCATTAATTTGGGTCACTTTAAAATAAGGCCGCACTTTCAAATCAATAAGCATTTATTAGTAGCTACTCAACATTCCAGAAAACAGAAAGCAAGAAGGACTCAGACAGACAAACGACTGAATTGCATGGTGACCCCCACAAAAGATATGTCTGTGTCCTAACGCCAGGAACCTGTAAATAAAACCTTCTTTTGAAAAAAAAAATGTATTTGCAGATATGATTCAGTATCTCAAGATAAGATTATCCTGGACTATCCAGTTGGCCCTAAATCCTATGGCAAGTGCCCTCAAAATAAACAGAAGAGGACCAGACAGACACAGGGGAAAGGCCATGTGAAGACACACTAAATGTTTGTGTTCCGCCCATATGAGTATGTTGGAACCTGATCCCTAGGGTGGTGGCATTTACAGATGGGCCTTCAGAAGGTGTTTGGGTCAGAGGGTGAAGCCCTGGTGTGTGGGATTAGTGCCCTCACAACGAAGACCCCACAGAGCTGCCTTGCCACTTTCCCCGCGAGGATGCAATACAGTGATGCCTTAGTGTGAATCGGGAAGAGGGGTCTCACCAGACACCAAATATTAAGGCTCTTTCATCTTGGACTTCCCAGCCTCCAGAACCATGAGAAACATATTCCTGTTGTGTAGAGGCTACCGGGTCTACGGTGTTCCACCCACAGGCACTGAGACGGAATTGCCTGGAGCCTCTACAAGCCGAGGGGAAGGTTCCTGCCCAGAGCTTTTTCAGACTACTGGCCCCTAGGCCGTCAGGGAATAGTTTCTGTTGTTTTAAGCTACCAAGTCTGAGATAACTGATGATGGATGGACAGATGGATAAAACAAAACAAAACAAAACAAAACAAAAAATAAAGCTAGGGATTCAAAAGGGGAAATCTCATTGCTGCAGGCTGGGTGGTGAGTGAACAGTGTGCTTTCCTTGCTAAGTATCAGACAGGTGAAAGTCAAGTACATATACAGTTTACTGATTTGCAATAAAGATGAAGGAGCATTTTTAATTAAATGGTTAAAGTTACTATGCTGCTGTCCATAAGCTCTTACGTAAGAAGTGTGCTAATTGTTCTTTTCTCCCTTTTGACATATTACACATGCTTCTCAGAGAAAAGGACTTGTTTTTTGTCAGCAACTAATCTGCAGGCAACTGTTACATTTAATTTAGATCCCTTCCCCCCTCTCTAACTCTGCCAAGCTGTTTTTTTTCTCTGTGTGTCTGTGGAGCCAAGTTCACTGATTCAATCTTGCTTAAAAAACAAACTTTTGCAAGTGCACTCTAGCTTCCGTCCACGGAATTCTTCCTTGAGTGCTGGCCACACCCCCTGCGCCCCTAGGGGTCTGCTGCCCTAACAGGTGGTCCACCCTTGGTGCGGTCGCAGCACATGTTCCCTCCAAGTACTTTCATTTAGACAATAAACAGTGGGGTCAGTGTCACAGGTACACAATGGTGTCTCTGAGCCCTGCAAGTCGTGCTCAAGCCTGAAGACAAACACAAAGGAATACTAGAAAGAGATTCATTTAGTTACAAAAAAATCTCAACAGCATACACGGCAAAGCTAGAAAGAAGCTCCGTTATTCATCCCTGTCTCCTCCCCAGCTTTCTCCCTGGATTAAAAACCACCTGGCTATTTGCACCACTGAATTTAATGAAATCCATTTTTAAAAGCTACGTGGGATAATTTCATGTATGATTTCCATGAAGTGCTTCCTGCCCTTTTTGGTGACAACCCTTGACCTTTCAAAAATGCTCAAAACACTGAGCATTCTCCATCTACCTGATGGACTCCAGACTCCCCAAGAGGAGCCCCCAAATGGACCTCTCAACGCGTAAGTGAGACACAATACATTAAATACTTCCATAGTCCTTGCTCTTGGGGGCATCACTGCCAAGTGCTTCCTTGCCTTCTTTCTTAAAGCAGGTTTCTCAGCCTCAGTGCCGCTGACATTTGGGGCCAGATGCTTCTCTGTTGTGGGAGGCTGGGCAGTACATCGTAGGATGTTCAGCAACCACCCTGGTCTCTGCTCACCAGATGCCATTGTCACCCTCCCCTTACCCACTAGATGCCGTTGTCACTGTCTCCTAGTTGTGACAACCACAAATAACTCCAGATGTTGCTAGTGTGGTCTGGGGAGCGAAGTGGCCCTCGCTGGAGACCACTGTTGGAAAGGTTCTGCCACATTCTGCTTTTCAACCCATTTCCTCCCAAGTTGAATCAGCACCCACAGCTTCAAAGAAGAAGGCAAAAGCTCTTCTAACAGTGTAGCTTGTTACTTGCTTTATTGAATATATTAGGGAGAAACTGGTTAATAAAATTATGCCGGTTTCAGGTGTACAATGCTATACTACATGTAGAGTGTACTGTGTGTTACCACCCCGTTATGTCCCCTTCCGTCACCATTTATACCCCCCCTTTACCTTCTCCTTCCTCCTCCCACCCATCTTCTCTAAAGTCGTGGCTTAGGCTCCCCAGTGCCTCTCTCGGCCAGGTATGGAAACAGGCTGGCCTAAGACGCAGGCGGCAGGTTGACTTGGGAACAGGGTGTCCCTTACAGATCCCGCTTGGGCCCCGGGCCAGCTCACTCCCTCTAGCCTGGGGCACCCCAGCAGGACAAAGGCTGAATGAATCATTTCACTGGTTTAGCTGAGACTCCTACACCCCAGCACGGTCTGCATCTCCAGGCCTGTATTCTCTCCCCTCGGCTTCGCTCTCCACGCCCACTATAAGTCCTTTTCCAATCACTTCCTAAAGTAACAGGACAAATACTAATCTTGCCCCAGATGGTTTATACTGTTATTCCAAGAAAGAACGCGGCACGTGGGAAAAGACGAGACCATGTTATGCCTGGGACGGGGGCTGTGGTCTATGGAAATGCTTATTTGTGTTTTGTAATTCTTCTATAAAATATGTGGGCACTTTGTCATTTACCTAACTTTTTAAATAATGAAAACAATCATATACGCCCAGGAAAAGATGCCACGTTCTACCTAGAAGTGGTGAGAACACTGACAGCTGGCAGCATGGGAGGAGTCGGCGAATCAGATAAGCCCATGCAAACGCTGGCAGTGGGTGGGCCAGTAGAATGCAGTAGTTCTGCCTCCTCTGCCTTCATAAACATGGCGATACTAGCTATCGACCTGTGTTATTTCATTCATCGGTCATTGGGTCACTCTGTCATCTTTTAAAAAATGTTTACTGTGCGCTAAGTACTAAGATACACGGAGCGTGGGACACTGAGGAAAATACAACGTAGTTCTTGCCCTCAAGCGGTTTAAATCTAAATAAACCATCAGACAAGTACAAACAGCCCTCACCTGCAAGAAGTAAAACTAACACACAAGTGGGCAGAGGAGTCAAGGGGACCGTGAACCGAGGCCTCTGAGGAGGAACTGTGCTCAGGGACTAGCACTGGTCTGGTCCGGCTGGAGGGCCGGCCCGAGAGGTGGAACTGGTACCTTGAATAAGCAGGGCCCACAGGGGTCAAACATAAAAGCAACTCTATTTTTTGTAGTCCATTGTCTCTTTAAACCTGCCTGGTAGGAAAAGTCCCTCCCCTCTCCCTGGCAGGAAGCTCAGGCAGGCCCATACCTGATCATTCTTAGATGATACAAAAACTGAAAACCCCTTTTAACAGCAAAACAGTCTCGATTCGGAATGCAGACGGCCCAAGCCCAGGTGTTAATTCACAGTTCCACCTTCCTTTGAAGATCTGTCCTTCCAGCTGTCTGGAAGGGTCTACTGCTTACCTATTACAGAGGCGGGGAAGAGTGGTGGGGCGGTGGGGGGGGCGGGAATCCCTGTCTCTTCCTGTGGCCTCCCACACCAGCTGCCCGTTCGGGCCTCAGAGAAGGGCTAGAGAAGGAGGCCGAGGGAGTAGAAGTGCGGGCATGAGAAAGGTCTTACTTCACTGTTCTAGAAAGGTTTTGCTCTGCGGGCCAGCAGAGGCGTATGGGATTTGTGCACGGGGTCTTTGAAGCCTTTGCTTTGGTTTCTCCCCCGACGTTCCCTTCACCTGGCTGAAGTCCCTCTTGTCTGGGGTCACTCATTTCCTCCACCTCCCCTAGGGGCCCCCCTGTTCCTCCCACATCCCGTTGTGCTGAGGGACCATCAATTCTCTTGGCAGTCCCAGTGGACAGCATTTAAATCAACACCCACGACGCCAGCCCTCTGAGGGGAATCTGGTCACTGCCAGGGACACGGA